TGGCTGTAGCAGCGCTATAGCGCTGCTATAGCGCTGCACAGCAAAAACGCATAAAAATGAAAAATGCAAATTTCCAAAAAAAAAAAATGCGAACTGCAAACTCAAAAGTTGAAATATTGCTAAGACGGTTGTTTGTCAAAAAATCCATGTGCGCTCATTTACAAATTTGGATGAGGACGGTCGCTCGCTGCAAAACGTATTCGTCTCTGATTTTTCGGTAAAGTTCAATATTTCTCATCTGCAGGAATTCCACCTCCAAGCAGAATTAAGACAGCACTTGAAAGTAGAATATCCCAGTGAATTTTCAGCCTCGCAGCCTATCCGGTAAACGAAATATCCACTTCGCTATAAATATCTTCAAATTGCCCTTAGTCATGGCGCAAGTGCAATTGGTACTCATTTTAGGTATACAGCTTTCCACATGGCACCAAACATGCCGACAAAATTTCAGCTACTGTTTTCCGGCAAATTTTCGAGTTAAGTATCAAGTCGCAAATTTTGACGTGATCGTACGTGTTGCAAAAGAGTGCGCGGTAATTGAGTTCGAAATCTGCAGCTCGCACATGCAAAGAGAATACCTCTGCAAAGTTTCAGTTTTGTACCTTGTCTGGTTCGCAAAATCGTTTCCCGCCAAAGAAATATGCATATTTTTTGGGGGGGTCGGTACTCGAGGTCTAGGCTTATGTGGGAGATCTTAAAACGGGAGGATGACACACTGGTTGGGAACAATCCCCCAAAATTTCAGCCTTTCAACTTTCCTGGTTGCTGAGATGAAAGTGGGTGACAAAATGCACTCGCTTCCGAACACACACACAGACAACCTCTCGACAATATGCCTTTTTGCTGGCTGTAGCGGCGCTATGGCGCTGCACAGCAAAAACGCGTAAAAACGGATCAGGACTTATTGCGCAATTTTTTTGCAATTCAAAATTGTAGTTCTCCAGCCGTCAGTGAACTAAACATTTCAAATTCAGCCTTAATGCGTGCCTACGTCATGTGCACAGTCAATTGTACGAACACGTCACTAGGAATGCGGCCTGCGTACAGACGTATTAAAACCTCAAATTGCAACGTCACGTTCACATCATCTGTATTACAGGCGATCACTCTGCAGCATGGAATCATGCAAAATCGTACTTTCGTACCGGCAAACCTCATGCGTAGGTACTTGAGTTTTACATTCACGCTACTCAGCATTTGCGTTCCTGTTGAATACTGATACTGATCAAAATTTTGAATAAGCAGAGCTTAAGAACCATCTGAAATCAGAATCAGGGGTTGACCCCAAGCACTAAATTTCTAGTGTTAGGCTGTTTTGCGGATTTGTGGATCGGTTGAAGTTTTTAGTCCGTGAGCGTTTGAACACACATTTCAAGTGCTGGGGTCGATCATCAAATTAAAGTATAAATTTCAATTCCGAAATGGATTATCAATTTGATTTTGGGTTTTTGAAAATTCGGTTCGCATCTTTAGTTACCAAGTTAAGAGTGTTATACTTTCTAATGAATTTAAGACTGAGCTTAAATTGCAGCACGTACACTGAAGTACATAACTGAAGAGCTTTTTTCGATCATCAAGTTCAGTTTTGAACTCTAATTCCCAGCTTGAATATGGCTTTGGTTTTTTCAGTTTCAACACAACTTTTTAAATTACAGGCTTTTCAAGTGTACTGGAGCATGTCGAAAATGGTTTTTAATTTATTAACAATTATTCTAACGTGTTTTGTTCTTATCAAAATCCGTCGACTTTATGGAAAGAGTAATAGAATCTTCAATGGATTTGGAGCAAACAGATTTTCGCCTTCTGAAAGAAGCAATTATCGAACGGTAAGATACTAGGTTTTTTTAAAGTATCAGGTAATTGTGAAAAATATCAAGTGCTTTCTCAAGTATCAGTTATCAAATAAATAATAACTGGCCAACGCACGGACTGCCCACGCGAAAATGTATTTTTTACATAGCCCCCCACCGATTTTTGTCGCTAACGGCACTATTTTTCCGGCAGATGCTTCTAGGCAAAAGAATTTCAGACTGGCTACCAGAACTGTCAGGAAACATTCCATCAAAATTGCAGTCTTCTAGCTTTTCAGGCTCCCTAGTTAGCAACTTACCCGGAAAAAACTTCCACAGGCCCATACGTGGGAGTGACTCACACCCGGGCGCTAAGTTTGAGTTCATTAATACATACTTGAATGGAGAACATTCCCTCAAAATTTCAGTCCTCTAGCTTCTCAGGTTCTCGAGTTAGCAACGCACCCGAAAAAGACTTTGGTGGGCCCGTATGTGTATCACGCATACCCGAGGGCTGGTTTTAAGCTCATTAATACCTGCGTAGACGCGAATGTCCCCTTAAAATTTCAGCTTTCTAGCTTTCTTGGTTCGCAAGTTAGCGATTTACCCACAAAAACTTTGGCGGGCCTGTACGTGGGTACCACGCGAGTAC